TTACTCTTTACTGATTGTTTTGTTATATAAAATCTGAAATCACCTTTTCAAGTTCTACAAATGAGTAAGTCTTTCAGTGTTTACGTATTAAATTGAAAATGTAAATCAATTAGAAGTGAACATAACTTCTTGACGATATTGAGATAACAATCCATAATTGTGATATAAATTTTCAATTGCTTAGGTAGTCTGTTAATGTATTTTATTATATTTTAAAACTTTACTCCTTAACATATTTGTATATATTTTATTTTATTTACTTACAGAAAACTGATAATTTAGTCTTTTGATAACTTTTTCATCATTAAGAATTTTTAAATATAATGAAAAGTTCATAGAGTAATGCAATGAACACCTTTTACCTAGATTCATAGATTGCTAAATTGTTTATATTTTGGGTTCTTTATCTCTGTCTTTGTATTACTCTTTTAGGGTATTGCTCTGGATTTACAAACATATTGGGTTCAATACATTAGCAATTAGTAACAATCTTCTAGATGTTTGCAGTATCCCAAATTTAGACAGTAAGACCCCTTTCAAGCTAGATCCTGAGTCCTTTAAATATGATATCATTAGTATTTGGACAATTCCTGGATTTAATTATCTTAAAGCATTTTTCTCAATTCTGTCTATTGATGGGATGTAGAAATTTAACTGTATCCACTAAACTTACCGAATTATCTTATATATATTTATTACATTTGCCTCAAGATACTTCTGGATCTTTAAGTCCATGACCCTTTCATATTTGAATAATGTCAGCTTTGTTTCCTCTTCGGCTGCTTTTCAGATCTCCTTTCATCAATAGCACTGTGCAGTTTCAAAGTCTATCATCAAGGATTAGATTAGTGTTTATTTTTTTTACCTGATGTTAATTAACCACATGAGTGTTTTGCTTGCTGGCTTTCATAACTTTTGGAAACATCTCAGATATTTTAAGTAATGTGTCTGCATCATTCAGTCTAATGCACATGGATTTTCCAGATTGGCAATTATGCAGTCTAAAAATAATAAACATTTTCTGCTCCTGCAATAGGTTTTTGAATTCCAGTTGTCTTCAGAGGACATGAAGGTCCTAGATGGCCTGAACAGAAATTTTCGATATGTTAACAGTACAAGGTACATGACCTTGGTTAATACATTGCTACAGTTTATATTCTGAGTAGGAATGTGGGATGGGCGTAAAAAGTTGCTCTAACTTCAGGAAGATGGAGGCCAATTTGAGTCAGGGATGAGACAAGAGCTCTATGCAATTCTTCTTCCAGAGACAGTGCAGAGCTCTGTTCTCTGTCACAGCAACAGGGTGAGGGGGCCAGGGTCACCATGGACTTCCCCACATGGGCCTCTGCATGCCTTATTCCATGGAAC